TTCTTTTATGTCATGCTTAGTGATTTACTAACTATGATATGTCTTGTCATAAGATTTAGTATACTTCATTTTAAGTTCCGTACATTCAAGCACCAACTTAGTGTCCAAAAATTAACAAACATAGGATTATAGAGCCGAGATTCAGAAAACAACCTAAAGCAAGAGTGATCTCATAATGTAACAGCTCTCCTGTTCGTCTGGAACACCTCCAACAAAGAAATCATACATTAAAGCTATTACAGTGTCATTTGTTGCTAACAATGCTTCCATTCTGGGAAAATCAATCATAATTTTTCATTACAACGTAAACAGCATCAAAGTACTCCCCTCCATCAATCTACAACTTAGCCATGGTGTTATCAGCCAAAGAGCAAGAGAGGCCCTTCCCGTCAGGTTCCACATTCAGCTGCGTGATCTTGCCGTCCTCCACAACCATGGAGTAGCGTTTTGATCGAAGGCCTCCTAACACAGCCAGATCTTGCTCCAGGCCAAGGGCTTTCGTGAAATCCCCATTTGTGTCAGCCAGCATTCGAACCTAGGGTAAGAAATTGTAACTGCAATAAATCTACTGGTAAAAATATAAAAAACATTAGAGAACAACACTGAAAGAAAAATGAAAAATAATAACACTACTACTACTACTACTACCAATAATGACATTTATGTCCCAATAATATTCTACTAATACACAAACTTATTCAGTATCATTACTGTATAGTACACTGAGGAAGGCTCTTTGCAGAAATTTCTTTTGACACAAGTAGACCATACAAACAGAGGAAGAGAATAGAAAAGAAAAGAAAATTTTACCTATCATGTGACAACCTTATGAGCCTATATATAACCACCCATTATTTTTCAAATGATTATTCAAATTTTTAAAAAATCTGCTAGCTACAGCTGCAACCACATTATTGGGTATTGTAGAGCCACTTATTGGGGGCAACTTTAACCCTTCAGTGATGGGTACAGCTATAGTCGTCACAACGTAATGGCCTATGACATATATGTGTCATGACTCGCAAAGCGTGGGCCAGATGTACACAGCTTAGGCCTTGCCATAAAGTCTGGACTGCTGCATAACATTACATTTCAAAAAATTCTGACCCCGTCATTACAGGGTTGATGGGTCAACCAATGAAATGCCTATACTTGTAGTTGAGCACAATCACCAGACAATAGGCATACCACACTCAAACACCTACGGGTAATATTGGCTACTAACAGACATGTCTAGCTACTCATCAGTACAGCGAAATGGATAACAACCACGGGTATGCCTGACTGAATTGTGTACTACCTGCTTGGCATGCCCAATTGTGTGGGTATAGTTTAAAAGCCTACTTGGCATGCCCAATTTTATGGATATTATTTAACAGACACTTTCTAATATTCAACAACTGCAACATCTATTTGCCATATCACTTTATTATTACTAATGAGAAGTCCAATATGTATTAATTAATGATTTTAATATTGTATCATATAATTCTGTAAAACATTCTTATAATGATATATACAACATGTATTTGAAAGATTTCAAAGAAAAAGAAAAAGAAAAAAAAGAAAAAAAAGAAAAAGAAAAAGAAAAAAAGAAAAAAAAGAAGAAAAAAGAAGAAAAAAAAAGGAAACATAAGCTGGAAAAGCAAGTTTAGTATCAACAAAACATGGGTCATATACAACCCCAGAAGGTACTATTAACCTAGAAAATGCAACATATCAAATGATGGCCATCACATAATAAAGAAATATTGAAGATCATTATACAAAGATATTGAAGATCATCAAGTAATAGAAAAAGTAACCATCTCTAGTTCATATTTTTTCACTTTACACTTAACCTTTGATTGCGAGTCCTTAACAAAAAGTACTCAGGCTTAATGGGACCGTCTATCTTTGCTGATCAACTATGATACTGTCAGAAGTACCGAATGCTAATATTCATTGTTAGTCCCACATATCCAGATCTCAGTTATAATAGAAAATTATCCAATAATTACAGATTAATGAGGAATAATTATCTATAAAAAAAATAGTCATGAAACATTTCTTCCAAGTTTACTTAGACTATAGTTTGTCATATGAAGATGGGCCTAGTCTGATTCCTTCACATAATCTGTGCCAATTTTTTTTTTTTTTTTTTTTTTTGCATTACTTATCTCAAAAAGTTTCAATTTTTATGAACAAAGAAAACAAAATAAAAAGCAGCATGGACAGCTCCCGCAAGTAGTTTTTGCAATCAAAATTAATCTATTCCCATTCTTTTAGGTCAAAAATTAGTCTGAGGCAATATATATGCCAAAAAATTGCATGATTTAAGATAAATATATTTGAACATTTATATGCTGGTATTTTGCCTATTCATTAGTTTTTTTCTTTCTTTCTAAACATGCAAATTGACCTATAACAGAAATGAGTGTTCTTAACAATCCCCAATGTACATAAAAGATGAGGGAATACATTTATACAAAAAGCACAAAATAACAACCATTTTCAAAAGTACAGGAAATCACACAGACTGCTTTTATTACATGTACAAATATGTCAAGGGTTAAAGTTAGATTATACAATTCCTGAATGGAGGGAGGTCACCTAAGACACTCGAGACCAATCCAACATCTGTGAAACTAATACGAGAAATGGGAAATTCTGATTTACGGTAATGATGTGTATAGGACACATGGAATGCAAAACAATGAGGGAACATCACTTTTTTGAGGGGAAGGGGGAGTTAACTGATATTTAAAGAATCTCTACAGGGGGGAAATAGGAGAAAAAATTCCAACTCCAGTTTAAATACACTGAGAATGAAACCACTCTATTTCAAAGTCTTGGGAGCAGTTGATTAAAAAATTATGGAATAAAACAGTATTATTGCACTTGGCTGAAGTATGATAAAACTACTTGTGTATGTGAGCAAACCCACTCAGTTTACTGTTATGAACTCTAGATAATGCCAAAAACATACTCCTATCTGAACAAAGTATATACATGCGTATTTTGACTGAAGATAGGGGACATTTCCTGGACACACTTTTGTCACATCATTAGAAACAGAAAGATGAGGCATTGTCTCTAAAACATACTTTCAGCAATATAACTATAACAGGTATATTAACTAAAATATACACTAAATCTAATTTTTAGTCTTCTGTTAAAAATGGTCCACAATTAATACCTCCCAGGTATTGGTCTGTAACCCACATGAATCTCAGAAAATTGCATAAATAATCATATAATCTAGTTGAGCATGTTCTACACGAGTTATAAGCATTTATACTATTAAGCACTCACACAACCAATGGATTGAGCCACCAATATGCCATTCATTCCCCTTGATGCAGCACTGTCACAAGGCTGTCCCGGCACTTGCACACCCTTCCAATATGCGACTCATTTCCCTAATCTGATGCAAATTGATTCCAATGTGAACAAAGTAAAAATATTTGTAAAACTAACTTTTTTATTTTAACGCCGATGTTCAACATAGCTAACCATCTTGGTAATAGATTAATGCAGATGTAACAAAAAATGATAACTTAATCTCCATTTGCTTTCCGGTGATGTGTACATGATTCAAATTACATCTGAAGATGCTGAAGTCAAGGTCTGTAGACTTAACCTATAGAAACCTCCACAATCTGCCATTTGTCTCAAGCACAATGTCACCGGTCCTGTCACAGTAGATCATTCCTGTCTGTGGGAACCTGACCAATAATGATTCCAGACATGTAGTTTTGTCACTGGTATTTCATTGATTTTTTTACTGTCTATCACATATTTCCAGAAATCAATAAACTCTTCCTAAAAAAAGGTAAAAACACCCAGTAATTTTCTCTCTCATTTTCCTACTGCCTGTCAGAGCTTTTCAGAAATAAAATCCGTAAACCAAGGAATAAAATAATTGTGGCTTGAACTACAAAATTAAACCTCATAAAACATGCTGATATTTTAACACTTAAAAATAATATGATTCATGAAACATTAATGAAAGTTACCTACAGAAAGACCAAAAGGATTTTAAAGTTTTCACTCTATAAAGTAATTCATCTAATGTTACTACCATTATGCCAAATCATGCAAATGTGTTGCTAGATTCCAGATTTCAGCATTGTTCAAATTAGTAATCAACATTTACCTTTTTCATGGAGTAAAATTGTATACAAAATTGCAATACATATTAGTTAAAAAAAATATCAACAGTAATGCATATATTGCTATAGCTATTAAAGAAATTGCAGACATTTTAATCTGAAGTATGGGCTATTATTGGATTCAAAAGCTTTGCCATAGTGGTGGTAACTATATTCAACTATCAGAGGGTTATCCTCTTATCTGTGGATGGCAAACCTTTTTGCCATGAATGATCTTGGATGGCATTGGCACATGCCATCGCATGCTAGAGCACCACTGCAGATGGCAAGTGTTGATATATGTTCTCACTTCGAATCCATCATGTACTTAGATGGTTGTGCGTGCTCATAGTCCCTTTTTTTATAACATCTATATAAGTATCACTTCATTAGTTGTTATCTAATAATCATATATATACATATACACAAAATAGTTGAAAATTATCCAATAGATGTCAGTGTAAATAATTCCTATCTAAATAATAGATGTCACTATATGTCAGGTCATTCCATGTCACCCCAAGTGGTAGGATCTGATTGGCAAACATTATAAAAACTTAGGGCTTTAATGACTGCTTATCATTGCCACTCTGTACTTTGGAGCAGCACCATTTCTCCTCAAGATGAACTGGAGAATATCCAACAGATCTTCCTCTAGCTGCTCCTCCACCAGCCACGGCCACAGAAACCACTCCCTCGTCTTCATCGGCACAGGTAACAGTGCCTGAATCTTGGTATCTCTACTCTGGTTCTGATGAATCAGATGACAAAGTCGTGCCAGAGACACACGGGTCTGACACAAATTGGACCTCAAATAAAGAATTTGATTATTTTGATGTGTCACAGCAAGACACAACAATGGATTCCGATGAGAGGTTGTCACTATACATGGATTGCTTATGGAAGAGGAATGCTTCTGGGGTCATGAATGACTAACTCGATGAGACATCCTCCCTGACTGATATCTAAAGGGGCCTTTTCATAGATTCGGAATACCAGGTGCTAGCTGGAGCAGCACTGGTCATGTGAATACCTGATGGCATACCCTGTGTACTCAGGGACCATGCCATGTGACTGGTTTGACCATATCAGGAAATACCTCACGACGATCACTTGTGGAAGCTTGGTTGCATGATATCTCTCCTGGGGAAGGCCTTCAAGTTGATCCTGGTAAGAGTGGCAGAGATAGCACTTGACTGGGTTGATTTGGGTTCAAGAAACACAAGCTCTCAGCAAGTTCTGTCCCAAGTGCTGGCTTCAACCTGGTCTTCAGAATTTATATGAAGTAAGACAAGTCCAAGATGCCCACTTCACAAAAGGCTGTTGTTGATCACAAGGAATTATCTTGTTCTTAAGTTCTATGAACTCTGTTGGGACAGCACAACTGACACTGAAGTTCATGCCAAAGGACTTTACTCTAGAGGCAAGAAGAATTTAACTATTCAATCCAGTTAAAAAATCAGAGATGATCAACACTGGTGAGGTTAACCTGAGAGGCAAGATCATCATGAAGCCCATGGCTATTATTGAATACAATGATGGCATGAAAGGTGTGGAGCTGGGACACTAGTAGGGAGCTTCGAACCTGACCACCAGGAAGAGTCTCCAATGGTATAAGAAGATATTCTTCTACCAATTCAAGATGGCAATCATCAACTCCTATTGTGTACACAGAAAAAAGAGGCTGCCTGTCACACATTGACTTCCAGATGGAGCTGGTGAAAGGGCTAATAACAACCTTTCTGCCTGACCACCCTCAGCCATAACTTGGCAGACCTGTTGTAGTAGATCCCCTAACAAGAGTACAAGGAAGGAACTTACAATTCCTCCATAGACACAGCAGAAGAAAGATGACCAGAGTATTGTGCACAACCTGCTTTGTGGGTCTTCAATTGTTTTGAGGCATACTACAACCTGGTGGATTACTGAAGAGTAGGAGAAAGAACTGCATATATATACATATAATATATATATATATATATATATATATATATATATATTATATATATATATATATATATATATATATATATATATATATATATATATATATATATATATATATATATATATATATATATATATATATATATATATATATATATATATATATATATATATATATATATATATATATATATATATATATATATATATATATATATATATATATATATATATATATATATATATATATATATATATATATATATATATATATATATACACACACACACACACACATACACATGTAAATTTGTATTTATATGCATTCTCCATATCAGTTTGTTATTTTTTGTTCCTGTATATATGTTGTATACAAATATATCACTTCTGTACAGATAGACAACTTTTGTACAAACTATTGTCCATGCTTATCCTTACTGATCAAACCACAGTCAGAAAAAAAAGGAAAAACTTCTTTTATCTTCAATGAAACTGATTATTCACTTCCATATATGCTTTATAGTGATCATTATGAAGTATCTGCCAGTAATACAATGTTACCAAAGTCATAAAGGCAGGCTGATGTCTAGCATGGGTACCAAAACATCACAAAATAATACATACATGTAATATAAATTGCAGCCCAAATATCATACACAGAAAGAACTCCATTACCATGGGAAGCACTTGGTAGTGTAGAGCATAGTTGGTTATCCTCCAAAAATAGCAATGCAGGCCAATCCACCACATACAGATAAACCCTGCTGTAAGAGTTAGTGCAGAGAGAGGAAAATTTGTGGTCAATGAGTTAACAGTCTCAACCTGTTCCTAGGAACTGTGGGTTTATGAATTAGATTACCATTGTTTTAAAAGGTGCAATAGCCATCTTTACACTTCTCTCATAAATGATAACACCAAGATAAGAAAACCTTTTACTCATTACTATGGATCCCTACCTTCTCTCCTGTTCCCTGGTTCTGACCCCAGGCACTCATCACAAAGGGGTCATTGACGGCCACACACACAATTTCACCGATACCCTTGGCTTTGATGGCATCAGCATTGTTGACATATCCTGGTAGATGAGTCTGAAAGAATTAGAGGAGTCAGGCTTTCTATCTACTGGAATTAGGACAGTACAGTAACATAAACATCTGAAAGAACTATGAATTTTTTTATCAAGAATATTAAAAGAAAAAACTTTATAATAATGGTAATAACACTTATTACAATTATAAATACTACAATAATAACAACACATATTACTTAATTTTATCTAAACCAAAAACATATTTCCTAGGCAAAGCCCATTAACAAAGAAAACTTGAATTCTCTTCAAGATATCTAAATTTCAGCAGCTACACTTACTACTTACTAAGAGTTGCAAAGGCAGTTCTCCAGAAGTAATTGTTGCAGTGGTTTTTAATCTTTTTCACTCTATGATCCACTGAGACTATTATCATGACTCCAATCATGCATTTTGTAATGGTGAAATTTCCATATAGATAAAAATCAAACAGATATAGATTTACAGAAAATGACAAGAAAAAAGGTTTTAATGTTAAAGAATCTCTACAAATGGCAGAAAATTGCAAAACCCACAGAATCTTTTTTGACTCCCTGATAAAGAGAAGAAAAGAAAAACCTAATTGTGGGATCATGAACCCATGCTGGACCAGAGGCGTAATCAAACCAAAGAACTAAACAAAACTCACCTTTGAGCATCCTGGCGTGAAGGCACCTGGCACAGCAAAGATCAGAACCTTCTTGCCAGCACACAGGTCCCGGGAATTGACACTATTTGCTGGGGTCTCTTCAAAGAGATCCACACTGGGAATCTCATCTCCAACCTATTTAAAGAAAATTTAAAACATTCATTAAATATTAATCATCACGCAATTTAGTGATGTAAAAAGGCATAAAGTCATAATTCTAATGGAATCTGAATCACAGGATCATTTCTTCAATACTCAAGTACAGTTACAATCCACTCAAGTCAAGCATTAGGAAGGGGCAGAGGATTACTGAATTCCTCAGGACTAGATCTGTTGATTATATATGAGACTATATTACTATATGGACAACTATATAACAATTTAGTGAGTTTTGATTACACCATTTTAAACTTTTCATGAGGCTGTAGGATATCATATTTCTAGAAACTGTATACCATATATGTATATATATATGTATAAATTTCTTATTTTACTTTGTATAATTAACATATGAAATTGACTATATTAAACCTGGTTGTGTAACATTTGATATGGGCTTTAAAATAATATAACTATCCCAACAGGAACGTTGTCTCCACTGGACATTGATCTGATCTAAGGAATGCAATGCCTAAACAACGTGAGAAAAGCCATGTGCTGAAGAATTAGAGTAAATTACATAATATGCAAATTAGCTTTAAAATGTGCACCTCAGATCGAATACCAATAAAACGTATCGGCAAAAGCGCGATTAAAAATAAGGAAAAGACCTAGAGAACTTGTGATAACTAGCAAATTCCAATCGGATTCCTAAGCCTATCGATTTCCCGGCGCTGCCACCGGCCTTAGCCACCCATACAACCCTGCAACATGCAACGTCGAGTCAAATAAATGAAACTTTTTAGCAGTTATCAGCCAACAACTTCCTCCCAATGCCGGATCTACCTCTACAACAATCGCTACAACTACTTCCCTTCGTCATGTCTCCATTCTATAGCCCTCTTACCTTAATGGACATTGCTCTGACAATAGTTTTGTGGAGCTGAGAGAGAGTCGCTGTTCCCGCACGGCTGAGAACTGGCCGGAGATGGAGAGACACGAGAGTCGCCATCGTCGCTCCCTCTTATTACTGATAGTGTTGCTAGAACGCCGCTCTGCTTTCAACCTTGAATTTGATTTGTTTATCTGTACCCTGTGGAATGAAGGTTTATTCTTAGAGGTAGTTCCTGGATTGCATTTTTTTCGTTGTATTATATAGTAGTTGTTTATACGGCTTCGGTGTAGAGCATGTGGTTTTTTGTAAGAGGCTTAAATTTATATAAAAGGAGCCTCCGGCATTTTTGAGGAAACGCATGTTCTTGTTGGCATTTAATTTCCTTTTTTATAATCTGCGATTTCCTGAGCTTGAAGAATACATCGGTTACCAGTTTCTACAATTTTGATAATGGCAATCTGAAGAGATCCCTTGTGCGATGCCTACTACTTTTATTGTAGATCATGATAAGCCTACTTCAAATAATTAATCTCCTTTTGTGCGATGCTACTACTTTTTTTTATTGTACGATCTTCTATCCGAAGTTATAGTCCCATACTAAATAACAACATTCGACATAACGGAATGGCAGGGTCACGTTGGAAATTTCATCGGTTAATAATGGACGCTATACATGAAAAGTGAAACCAAGCATGCGTAATACGCCCTAATTTCGATTTGTTTCATCATACAACTGACTATCCTCTCTCCGGTGAATAATAGCTGCTGATATGCGCTTGTAGCGTGTAAGAGCACGACTTGCTCTCGTGCCTTCGCGCTCATTGAGCGTCCGTTTCCGGATGAGCCCAGACTGATCCCGCGTAAGTAAACAATGGCCGCTTTTCACTCTCTCGGGGCCCACAGTTGTTCTTTCATTGGCGAGATGCAATCGTCGAAGATCGGTTTCTTACAGGATCCGTTTGCGAAGTTTGTATTATACTAGATTCTATAAACGAGGAGATGTTTTCACAAAATAAGATGGCAGTATTTTAGGACTTCTTTTTCATCTGATTCCGGCGAATGAATTTTTTCCGTTACTCCTCTTGCTCATTAGAGGTCCTAAATTGGTGTTCCGCTCTTTCTCTCATCTCTCTCGTTGGCGCACGACTGGGTTTATGTGATGGTCACTCTAGTCGAAAGAGGGCATTCTCTCTCCGGGTGAGGGTACGGTCGGTCTGCAAAACAGTCGTCGGTCGTTCTGGGTCGAGGGAATCTTGTCGTCGGTGCACGAAGGGGTCGTGCGGTTAGGGTGCGTGGTCAGTCAGGTAGTCTCTCTCTCTCTTCTCTCTTTTATGATGCTGTATGACTAGGCAACTGGTTTCGGCGGTAGATTGTTTTTTGGACAATTTTCTGATTTTTTCAATTTTTTAGTGGTGTGAGCGACATTTGATCGATTTTCCAGTCAGACGATAAATGAAAATAAGTTACCAGTCGGATAGGAAGCCTTGTAGTGCCAGTGCGACTTTTTGTGACATAGTGGATAAGGAGAAGGGTAGGTGATGGTAGGTGTGTGATGGGGTGTGTAGATGTGTGTAGTGGTGTGGTAGTAGTGGATGTGTGGTGTGTGGTTTAGTGATGTGTTCGAGTGTGTCTGAGAGGTAGCGTGTTTCTAGGCTAGGTCATATGTGCATCCAATAAGATACTCTGACATAAACTACAGTTGGTGGTGGTCTCGGGTATAAACTGGACAGAAAGTCAGGGCTGAGGGAGCAAAAGAGCTCCAGGGGAGTACTCTAGGCTTGGGAGGCTTAAAGTATGGAGGCGGAGAAAATAACGCGAGGAAGGTCGTGACGGAAGTGAGTGCGGGAGGATATGGATTTATTCTTGAGATATTCGAGGGGATCTCGGGAAAAGAAAAGCTAGGTCGAAGTTCAATTCGCATCGGTCAATTAGGTTGGGAGGAGGAAACCAACGCATAACTTTAAGATGCAGTCAGGGAGAGGAGGAGTAGAGAAAAGAGATACGAGCAGAGCAGAGAGAGAGTTTAAAGCACACAGACTAGTTCTCCTCTTGATCACGGCAGATGAGAGGGACGGACCTACTCAGAAAAGAGCAGATCAGACACGAGCGGAGAGAGAGGGAGAGAGTATAGAGAGAGATGAGAGAGAAAAGAGGGATATCAAAACTTTTTAGTTAAGATCTGCGGAACTAAAACCAATCTCTCTCATCCTCATTTACTCTTCTCTCTCCTCTCTTTCTGATTCTCTTCTCTCTCTTCTCTCTTCTATGGTCTATTTTTCTCTCTTACTCATCGCTCGTCTCCCCACGAGACCCTATACTCTCTTTCTTCCCTCTCTTCTCTCGCTTTCTTTGCGTTATGCCTGGAGGAGTTAATCCTTCTCTCTCTCATGTTCTGTATCAATGTCATCAGTATTGGGTTATAGAGCGTTGATGATGATTTTTGTTTGGTGGTTAAACACAATACGCAGGGTAAGAAATATTTATGAAAATTACAATTATAAACATTTGCCTGGTTTTTCCTCTGGGGATTGAAGCACAAATATACATAATTATCATGATACATAAAAGGGTAGCTGCCTATCGTATCATCAATGGATGCAGGTAGAGGAGATTGAACATAATGACTATAAATGAGTGTATCATACTCCTACAGTATCTATAATAAATCACTTGTACATTTTATAATAATAGGTTACATAGCATTGCACATATATTTCACGATACCACGCACAATACTTCATACAATACACACACACATTATATAATTATATATATATATACTATACTATATTTATATTATATATATATATTATTCTATGTATGTACTTATGGTATGTATATATATACTATAATTTATACTAATATTCCACCTTTATTAATATATATATGTATATATAATTATATACATCTATAGTATATATTTTATTCTTTATGTACGCCTCAATAATATATATACTTATACCAAGTACATATACGTATTAATATATAATCCTCTATAATATACTTTATTTTGTTACTATCTTATCCTCTCTCTCTCTTCTCTCTTTCGTCATACTATCGTCTCATCTCTCTCTCTTCTCTCTATATATATATATATATATATATACTATAATATATTTAACTGGGTACACATAATATATATGGTATTTATAATAAATATATAGAATTATATAATATTTATACTAGTATTATTGGCAACAATACCAACACACACACACCCAAACAAACACACACAACACACACACACACATAGATCATTCACACACACACATACATATATATATATAGATCATTAGTAATCAATATGTATATATATAATATGTACTATATTAATTATATATTATTATATATATAAGATATATTATATATATATATCCCACACACACATACACACACACAACACACACACACACACAACCACACACACACACACACACACACACACACACACACACACACACACAGGACACATCACACACATATATATATATATATATATTACATAATAGTTATATAATATATATATATATATTTATTATATATATACATATATATATTTATACATATATGTATATTTATATATATACGTGTATATTTTTGTATCACACAGACAAACACACTCATACAGTGTAATATTATAATATACATTATATATATAGTATATATATAATATATTATATATATATATGTATTATATATATATATATATGT